CGAACTACCTGGGAGGGGGCAGCTGTGTGGACGCTCTGTGGCAAACGTTAACCATTGGTAAAGAAAGCGAGAATAAAAAGGCCACCCGTAAGGACTTCCGAAGATTTCTGGCAGGGAAACTCTATCAGTCTCCGATGAATCCTCGATTACAAAAGGTACTCACGCCACTGCGCAAGTCTCGTGCACGGGAAACTTTGCCCTCATATCAGGAGCTCCTCGTAGAAGAGCAGGAGCTTGATAAACTAAAGAAGCGCCTCCTGGTAATACTGGAGGGGCGCCAGAAGACAGTAGAGGGGGACCAGGAAAAAGAGCAGAGGCTCATGAAACTAGTGCAGGAGCTTCAGGAAAAAGGGCGTAGTGTTCAGGAACAAAGGAAGTGGCTCCGTAAAAGAGTGCAGGAGAGCTTGGAACTAGTACAGGAGCTCCAGGAACGATGGCAGGGGCCAGTAGAGCTGGGGCTGGAACTAGACCAGGAGCACCTGAAACTACTGGCGGAGGGGCTGCAAGTCAGGGCCGTTAACTTTCATCCGCTAGGGAGTTTTAGGACTCTTTTTAAGTGGTATTATAGGTCCAGATGCTTGTTCCGGACCAGACAGGGCTATATCGGTCTCGGGCCTGTGGGTGTACAACCGGGAGATGAAGTCTGGCTGTTTGCTACTGCACGGACACCTTTTGTCCTCCGTCAACCATCGCAAGGGTCGCTGGGAAGGCAGACTAGAAGTTCGACTTCCTCAACACCGGAAGGTGAATTCCGGACATTCATCGGAGAGACTTACGTTCATGGAATTATGAATGGGGAAGCGATGCGTGAAGGTGACTTTCGCCCGGTGTTACTAGTATAATTGCGTTGGTGCTTGTTCCTTGGTAATAGTATATTTGCTACATTATGTCTGGTTGTATATAAGAGGTGGAAGTGACGGGAAAGCCTTGGAAGGATTATAAGAGAGGCGGTGAAGTATATATAGATTGGTATCTAAAGGCTTAAGTGTTGCAATTCCGCGGTTCTTTATATATGGTAAATATACCAGCGCGAAAGACCGCGACTATGATTCGATGCTGAAGGACCATGGCGCTCTACCCGCGAGGTATCGGTAAAAACTTGTGACTGTGGTATCTCTAGGGGTGTGGGAGGCTAGATGCGGCCTTTATGGGAAATTGGAGGAGGTCGTGTTTATAAAAATGAGAGAATAGATTGTACCGGTGGAGTGCTGAAGATCTGAAGTAGTTTAAAATTAAAGGCTGTTCAGCGTTTCGGGCGTAGGCAGAAACGTACAAGTTTCCTGCACTGTTCCTCGCCATAAAATGTAATCTGAAAGATTGACTACTGCAAAGTCGCCCACCTCTGTATTAAAGGCGACAGCCGCGCAAAGTCCGCAGAGGCCTGCACCACACCCATCCCCATTGCTTGATTAAACTGCTGATAACCCTCAGCCCCCAGGGAGGTATGCCAGTTGAACCCAATGTCCGCATTCCCATACCTCGTACCATTATCAATCCCCATCGCCGAAATAATCTCGTCCGTTCCCGAATTCATTCCGGACACCAGCAACAAGTTGTTCCTCCGCTGCGAGCGCATCATCATCTCAGCCAGCTGGCGCTGCTTCTCTATCTCCATCAACAGAAACGCATCCATGCGCTCCTTTGCAAGCACCAGGAAGGAGTCTATGTCATTGTTCTCGCAAGCTTGCTGCCAGAGATTCCGCATTCGGCGGGAGTACATCTGGCATCTGGCTTCGTTCGGGACGACGGCGCAGTCGAGATAACTGGCTAGGCTCGTCCCGTCGATGACATCCTTGTAGCAGAGTTCGCATGCGGTAAAGGGGCCTTTTCCATACCATTTGCGATTCTTGTGGGCTTGGTTCCGGGGACAGTCGGGCAATGGCCCATACTCCGACACATATTTGGAGAAGATGGAGAAGTTTCCTTGGTTCACGGCGTCCTCGTATTTTGGGAGATACCTAGAGAACCGTGGCGATGCAGGGTTTAAGTCGCAGAGACAGTTGCCATCACGCCGGAAATTGACTTCTTTGAACCCCCTAGCGAAATCGGGAATGACCATGAAGGCCAGCAGGCACCGCCTGCAGATGGTGAATGCATCGAAGGTACAATCCTCTAGGGCATACCAGGTCGCGTTGCGCATGTCATCTGTACTGCAGGGATGCGACTCGAGGATCAACCTAGCTACGTGCTCGAAGCCGTCGTACTCGTCGGAGTTTTCAGTCATACTGACTCGTTTGCAGCCAGCCCAAGCGGCATAGATTGGAATTGTCTGCATCCCACAAACGAGTTGCTGCTGTCGCTGCTCTACTGTAAGGTCGAGGAGCTCCCACGAGCTGGCGTGGTCCAAAAAGAAGTGGTCCAGGTAGCATGCCGTGCAGACAACCAGGTCGGGGACCGCCTTAGAAGCGTACCAATGTGTCGAGTCGGCTTGGAGTTTTGTCATCTCTACACAAGAGGGATACTGCATCCGCCTTCTGAAAATGGGGTGTAGGTCATCCCAGCGGTTGCGTGACTTGATCGCCCGAAGGAGTCCCTCCTTTATTAGCGGCACCGCCGCATCGCATGTCCATATTCCCTCTTCCGACTTGGTTGTCGGCGTCGTGGTGAAGTACGTCCTAAGCTGATTCCACGTCACCAGATCGAGATAGCACGCTTCGCATATCACGAAGCCCCGAATTTCCCATACGCCGATCATCCCGTACCACCGGGAACCATCAAGCCCCGTGTGACCTGTCGGCCCTTTGCAGGCTGGAATTTTGACCCGCTCGATCATGAAGGCGTTGATCGCATCCCAGTCATCTGCGGCCAGATGCGACATCACCCGCGGAGTATTCCATTGACATTTTCGGTCACGATTCCCGTTTACCCAGAGAGCCTCGAAAAGGCCCGCGTGACGAGTGGGTTGGATGTGTTGGTCATAGCAATAGGAACATACCAGGAATAAGGGGGCACCGGTGGGAGAATACCAGATGGTTGTCCACGAGATTCCTTCCGGATTGACGCAACGAGAAAGGACCTGTTGCTACTGCATTAGCATCTCACCAGGCTCTGTGGGTGGCATGAGCGTACTGGGATCTCGTCTTCGGCCCCACGGGCGCCGTTAGCTGCTGCATTTGTTTGAATGGGCATGTTGACAGATATAGCTGGAAACAAAAGAACTAGGCTCTTGGGATTCCGCATTCCTATTTATTTGTCGTTGTGGACCTGGCTGAGTGCTTATCTGCTGACAGTGCCTAACCGCTACTCGCTTCAAATTAACTAATCGGGTTAAGCCAACGGCAGGCTTGTATACACCACACTAGAATTTACCAGTAACTGGTGAGGCGCGAGCTGACGCTAGCACGCGACGCCTGAAGGGAATACCGATTGGCGACTTTGTATTTTACTCGCTCCCCGATATTGTTGTTGATGCAAGTTGATAGATCTGAAGCTCATAATATATCTGCTATTTGACCCACGACGAAACCATCCTTCTCCGTGTTATACTGTAGGCGGTGTATATCTGTCTGGCAGGCACCAGATGCCATATGGACCTGGACATCCCCTGTGCCTGTATTACTAGTTTTGATAAAACTAAGATCTAGAATACCGTCAGCATCCCAGCCGAAAAGCTGCCAGGCTCTATCCGTCCCCTCTCCAAACGTCGTTGCTACCTCCTGCACCCGAGTCTGGGAGGTAGAGGCACCAGATCCAATATGGACTTCCACCTTGTTAGTTCCGGCGTTTTGGTCTTTGATATAAGCAAAGTCTAAATGTCCACTATGTTGATAGTCCACAAGCCGCCATACTCCTCTTTTCTTCTGTGAAGGTAGTAGCGACCTCCTGGATAGGTCTCTGGACTTGGATGCTGCCGACGCGACATGCACTCAACCTATCCCGTACTAGTATTCTGGTTCTTGATCTAGATAAGATGCAATTTACCGTCGCCGTTGAAATCAATCAGCAGCCACTGTCCGCTGTTTTCTTTTACGAAAAGGTGGCCGTCTCTAGTATCCGCGTCTGATACGGAAGGGGTCCAGAGGCAATACGGACCTTGACGGAGCCTGTGCCGGTGTTCGACGTCTTGATGTAGATCAAATCAAGTTTCCCATCACCGTCAAAGTCGGCGGGTTGCTGGATGCCATTTTCTTCTTCAAAAAAGGTCGTTCCAGTCACTTGAATCCGGGTTTTATAGTGATAAGAGCCAGAAGCTGCATGGACTTTGACGGTACCAGCACCAGTGTTGCTGGGTTTGATGTATGTAAAATTTTGGGGGGGGGGGGGGGGGGGGCGCTCATCAAATTAAAGCAGCTTTCAACTCGTTTGTTTTGTACAATTCTTTTGCTGAACGTTCACCAGGCCTCAAGTCCTCGCACGTGCCTGGCTTCTATGGCGAGAGTGTTTGCTCGAGTCTGAGCCTATTAGCCGACGTTTCTTTTCCAGCTCTTCATGTTTCCCTACGACTCTTAGTCTGCCGTCCCATTAACCAACTCATAAGATTTGTACGGTACAGTGATCGATGTAAGAGATCCAATAAAGGCCGATTGGACCATTCGAATAGCCTTTAGAGAATAGGACTACACGGTAATCACTAGGATATCGAATTGATACCTATAGGGATGGTAGTGCATGATTTCACACTCGCGATTTTTAAGGCGTTTACCCTTCTCCAGGTCCGTACGGGTGTATACGATCCGTCATCCCTAATAGTGGGCATCCGTGGTTCCGGGGTGTTGTTTCAACTCACCCGAGATCCCAGACACGTGAGTACGGGAAACGGAACCGTCAAGGACCAAGTTGGACTATGCTGTGAAGTGCTTAGTGCCAGCGGTAGATATCCGGTGTTCGGGGTGTACTGTGTAAAACAACGTTTCTTCATTAGTATATAAGGCCTGGGTATTCTAGATTTTTTTTTTTTTTTTTTTTTTTTTTTTTTTTTTTTTTTTTTGCTTATTGACAACCAGTTCTCCCATATTACACTCAAGCCCCCCCGCGGCCCTGATCGCTTATCCCCTCAAACAATGTCTGGTTTATCGCCTCAACAAATCCAATACAAAGCGCCTCGAAGTCTGCCTCGTCCTCCGTTCGATCCAGCATTCAAAAACGCCGGGGGTTTGGCACGTTTCACCGACGAATTAAACCTTAAAGCTGTTCGGAGATATTCGTCGACAGACAGCGCGAATGCTATTCTGGAGAAGTTTCCCCATCTGGCTCACGTGGAGTATAACGTACCCGCGGTCAAGGGCCTCGATGATCATTCGTCCACCCTCTCGATCTTCCGATCAAAATGCCCGACAGATACCAAGAAATCGGTCTTGCACTATATCCATGGCGGGGGCCAGGTCAGCGGGACTCGGTTCAGTGGCCTTGATTCAGTCATCAGTCTCCTCCCTGAAAACGAAAATCTCGTCTTTGCAACGATCGAATATCGGCTAGCGCCAGAATACCGTGCTCCGGCGGGAGCATATGATTGCTATGCTGGGCTCGTCTATCTTGCTGATAACGCCGTGGAACTTGGCATCAACCCGGCAAACATTGTTGTATTTGGCATATCGGGCGGAGGACCACTTGCGGCAGCTTCATGCCTCCTGTCCCGGAATTTGGGATACCCCCAGGTTCGGGCCCAGATGCTCGTCGTCCCCATGCTGGACGACCGGGACGAGATTGGTGTCTCGTGGAGGCAGTTTGAGACAGGGACGCTGTGGCCGGGGCAATCAAATCGCATGGCCTGGGACATGGTCCTGGGGCAAGAAAGAGGTGGGCCTCATGTTGACGAGGTCCGATGTGCCGCCAGGGCGATAGACCTGTCAAAGTTGCCACCAGCCTTCATTGATGTAGGCGAATGCGAAGTCTTTCGCGATGGAGCGGTCGCGTATGCTTCGCGCATCTGGGAATCCGGGGGCACGGCGGAACTGCACGTCTGGCCAGGGGTGTACCACGGGGCACATTTGTTAGAGGACACTCCGGTAACCCAAGCAATGTTGGCTGCGCAAAGGGGATACATAGTGCGAGCGCTTGAACTTTGCGAAGACTAATTGACTGCTATGTTCCAATCTTGATCAGATACTCAGATTATATTACGTCTTGCTATCCAGGTAGTCTTCTGTGAAGTAAGCAGTTGGGGAGCGTTTTGCTTCTCGGCTGGGTTGGACTGTGCCTGGTATTTCTTCTGTCCTCACTACTACTGTATGGTCCACCGGAGACATGCAGTAACGTACCTGGAGAATAAACAGCCGTCCCAAGCTCAGTGTGAAATGGGTATAGTCACTGAACAAGGCCGAGCCTCCAAGCGAAGCCATGATATGCGTTGCACCTTCACAGCTGTCTAATCTGTCCGGTGTATATCGACCTCGGTTTGGGGTGATGATGTGATTTACGCACTTGGGTTAGATATCAGGGAACCTACGTTCGTTGCGAGGTATGGATGGTCTTCAGGGAGTTAGAGGTCTCTAACTGCTCTATCAGTACATCAAGTCCGGTGTAGGGGGGAGTGTTGCAGTGTTCGGAGACACACTGCCCTAACACTAGAGCTGATCACCAGTATCAGTTACCAGCTCGGCATTGGTTGATGGAGTGGCTGCTCTGGTGTGAGCCATGTTTCTCGGATAACTGCCGGTTCCACTGGAAATGGAATTAAATGCAGCCACGAGGTTCTGCTTCGTCGCACTGGAAGCCTCAGCACTTGTTGGGGGATACCCTCTCACGGTAGTAAGGACAAAGAACGCAGCGATCAAAGGAAGCGTATATTCTAAGCAGCCCAACAATAATTCTGATCGTTTTCGGTGTATTGCTTGTTTCCTTGTGCCTCTTTTTGCACTGCCCTATAGCCTGCACTGACCAAACTAGTGGCTTCGATCTCGAGTAAGATGAACCGTTCCATACCGAGGCAGAGCATCTAACTAGGCACCATGTGATGGATACACACTTGGATTACCAATAGTTAACTGAAGGGAATCAAGCCCGCGTTACACATTCTTAGGGGCTCCGAAGAATGAGCAACGGGCCCTCCTGTGAACGTCCCTGGTGGGTCCTGCGGGTGACCCTGCATTTTGTTAAGCTTCCCCAGTGGCCTGGCCATCGGATGGGGGAACACGACTATCCGAGATGATCCACGAGCATCTGCTGCGGAACACCCGAGCCCCGACGGCCGGTTAGGAGCCGTATTCGTTCTCGAATCCGGAACCCTGCGAAGATTATAGCCGTCGGATGCTGCAAGAACGTGACAAGTTTGAAGCAATTGCATGAGGTCTCTGTTCGTAATGCGTACGTGTTGAAGAAATCCTCATGTGTCGCCGGTTTTACAACCATGGAACTACGGATGGAGCACAGGGGAACCCCTCATTCTTCCCATCGGAGGCTAGTGAGTGAGACAGGGTCTGGAATAGCAAGCATCTACCCCCTCCATTAATGGAGAGTTCCGTAGTTTGGATGTTCAGTGCCGGCTACTATGTCTTTTTTCTGGAGTCAAAGACATCCGTGGTCCGAGTTTGGATGCCTTCCAATGTAACGGCTTTCACTAGGAACTTGGTAAACGAGCATATAAGTGCTGCAAGTGACATATAAAGGCTCAGCAGTCACCCGCCTTGATTAGATCTCACCGGAATCCTGCAAGCTATTCTTTTCTAGGCATTTCACTGCGGTCCATTCAAAATGGCTTCTCTGTCAGGCAAAGTCATCGCGCTAACGGGTTGTGGCTCTGGCATCGGTCTCGCCACTGCTAAACACCTTGCTGCCCATGGAGCCATTCTCTCAATCTCTGATATCCGAGGAGGGCCTCTTGCTGAGGCAGCTAGAGCGATCCGAGAGATTGGTCCCGAACCAATGGTGACCGTTCTCGACATTGCTAAGGAAAACGAAGTGAACTCCTGGATCCAAGAGACAGTGAAGAAATTTGGCAGACTGGATGGCGCCGCAAATATCGCAGCTATCCACAGCAAATTCACGCTGGTGAAAGATATTCCTACTGAAGATTGGAATGAAGTCATTGCCGTCAATCTTACTGGATCTATGAACCTCCTACGAGCCGAGCTTCAAGTAATGAGCTCTGGGGGGTCTATTGTCAACGTTTCCAGTGTGGGAGGCGTTCACGGTGTGCCAAAAGCTGGTACATACTGTGCTAGCAAATGGGGCCTTATTGGGCTATCCAAGTCTGCAGCCATTGAAGCCGGCAGGGATGGCGTTCGCGTCAATGTCATAGCGCCGTAAGTCCGATATCTATCCTTAACATTTTGGCCGCTTTTATTAACTTGGGCTGCAGTGGGCTTATTGATACACCACAACTGGCCAGCATCAACGACGATGAGTTCAGTAACAACGACGCCACCGTCCGCCAGATTATTCCGCTCGGACGAAAAGGGAGACCTCAGGAGGCGGCTGCGCTGATCAGGTTTTTGTTGAGTGATGATTCATCGTACGTGACGGGTAGCACTTATCATATCGATGGGGGCTTATACTTGTGAAGTCTGATATGGGTGAAGGACAACGGTCTTGTCTATTGTACCTCACTGGGGAATGGTTGGCACACTGAGGTAAATGGCCTAGAAGCCATACGACCAGATGCATCTAGAAATTGCAAGGCCGACAGTGCTTGAGCGCATGGCAGTTCAGGGTAGTCAGGGATACAAACCGTCGGTCAGAGAAGGGAATGACTTCAGAGCTTCCACTATTATTCGCTAGCTGCACTATGGTCGTACATGTTATATGTCAGCTGTATATCTTCAGAGTCATCCTTCACTCTTCGTACGAAACTGGACATAGGGGTCTGTCCAGGGATATTAAAACCTGGAAGCGATCTACCATCCGGTGTTCGGAAAGTTCCATCGGAAGCCCATCTCGACTCGCGCTAGGTAAGACCTTTCGAACAGAATACCCCCATTCAAAAGCTGAATGCTGACGGAGTTCTACTCTTCCAAGCCAAGATGGTTTTTGATTTCAGGAGCCGTCTGTTGTGGGCTTGTCAGCAGGACCCACATTCCCGAACAACGAAGACCCACAAGGAAAAGGCGATGGCTTGAATAACAGACGTTGTTGTTCCCAAATACATTATTAAGTCATGGGGTTAGCGAAAACCAGCAAACCGTGGCCCAGACCGAAACCTCGTCTCTGAAATCCCCGGAGCACCCACCCAGCCAATTGACCATCTGCAGCCCGGCCGATGTCGTGGCCCCTCTCCTGCAAGGGTCTCGTACAATTGGGACCTCTCCTTTACCCATGTTATTCTTGCCGTACTCTTTCGATATGGCCTGTGTGCTACCGGGACCACATTCTGTGGCCCAGACGTCTCCCTTTGTTGAGATATATATATAGTAAGACGCGTGGGTTGGCTGCCATTTCTGCTCCGAGATGGAGACATGTCACCTCGAACGAGCCTACTGTAAAAGTCACTAATATTCACTGTGAAAGAAACCTACGCAATGTCCACCGGTAACACTTCGTGTGCTCAGCCCAGCGATACTCCCCAACCTACTGACGACGCCTTTTGGGGGTTTGATCCTGCCATATCAGCCGTACTGCAACCAAAGCATGCTGCCAGTGAGAGACGGGTCAAGCACGCCGTGGCTTCACACAAATGTCTCATCCCCGACCGTCCAGTTATTCATGCTGGCTCTGCTTGCAATGACGTGCCAAAGACACCCACGCATATCGATGACAAGAAGCAAAACTAACAGGATCGCGCCCTTATGCCACAAGATCAAAAGTATATAGGAAGCAATTGTGCCATTCGTCGCCATTCGCCTGGTCCACTCTGCTTCAAAAAATTGTCCCTCCTTCTCTTGCTGTCTGCAGTGCGCGCCGCATGCGTTGCCCTGGGTTTGAGCTTTATCTGGATTGCGATGTGATCAGCAACTATATGCAGAATTGTGTGATGAAATTACAGCCACACGTAAGAGCAGGCTTCCGAGGAGCGGCCTCGGCCAGGCCCAACTAGATGGAGTGGCGCCTTCTATGCTCATTAATATTTTGCCTTGGCGATCCAGAGAACACTTGACCAATTCCGCGTCACAACCGGTAGAATACATCTAGTGGTAGATCCTAATCATCCTCTTTCGAAAAAAGACCAGCATGGTTTAAAGAGGCGGATAGGCAGCAGTATGATAAAAATGACATACCTGAAGGGGGATTTCCAGATTTCCGACGTCTCAGAGTGCCTGTCGCAGTCTCACATCGTCAATCCTATGGACATGATTGAATACAAGCCTGCTGCCAATATTTTAATTGTCGGCTTCCTTAGAAGCTTGCCCGTCCGGAAGGCGAACCCACGTTTCCACCTTCCTGCTCCATGAAATACAGCGATAGGTTCCTGCGCTCAAGACAATAAGGCTTAGCATAAAGTGGAGTAGGATTTATATTTAGTTTCTCTGAATTATATTAAATTACTAGCTTGTAAAGTAAGATTCTTAGTCTCTGTATTTTTTTAATATATTTTAAAATTACTGTTAATAGGCCTATTTCTATAGGGTATAGAATATTAAAGAGACTAGAAACGACTCGAGCGCTGGCTTCGTTAGTAAAATAGTTATTTTAAATTTAGAAATCTACTATTGTATAACGCGGACGTGTAAGTAGTAAATATCTATAAAAATCCTTTAAAAAACGATAATTCTTTCTTTGGTGTTAGTAATAGATCATAATATAATCTTTAGAAAAAAGGCTTATTTTATAGATATTTTATTAAACTATATAGTCTATTTTTTACTATTGTTTCTCGGTATAGTATTTTTTATTTAACTATTTTAACTCGCTAATCATTCTATTTATCATTAACTCACTCCAGTAACGCGGCTATGGGCAGCATTCGCCCACTGCTCACGATTCTGGCATCGATCTTCGAGCAAGGTATGCTGGCACTGCTATTATGATGGTCATGCCTTAATGGATCAAGGCTCAGGCCAGTCGGGCATTACTCAACACCCGAGGACAATAGCTTGCATGGAATTACAGGATAATATTTTACTCATGATTTAATTCCAGGCCGCGAAAGAGTATAGTTATGTCAGTACATAGGGATATGAAATGTTCGGCAGACAATGTTGTCTGTTGGTCAGATGCTTGGCGCGCTTTCTAAGCCTCGAATGTTGACTCTGGAGAATTCAGCCTGTTGCTGGACAAGGTTTGATTGGCTGCATGCTTGTAATATTCCGAAACTATTTAGGTCTGGCCCAATAGGACTGCTTTACTTATACCTGAAAACACTAAAAAAGTTGTATCTCCCCAAGATAAGTCCCCACCGTACCCACAACACAATTGAAGCAAGTACCCCCCGACAAAAATCCTCAACGCCGAGATAACGACAAATGACAAGATACATATATATCCCGTTCTCGTTGTCCTGCCTTATAGATCATCTCTGATCACACCTCGTCTTAAAAATGATTGTAGACGAGGTTCTACCCAATGAGTAGAATAGAGTCTTGAGGGAGACCATTCGATCCGACCGATCGTGATGTTTTCCACAGTATTGTATTAATGTCTCTTCGTGGAGTCGGTCGGTCCTCTTTTAACATGGTATGCCCGTCTGTCCGAAGTTCTCGTGCAGGCCCAAGTAGTCATGGTGGCTGATCGCTCAGGTAAACGGAGCGATTAATTTCAGTCATCCACCGAGTCGCTCGTCACTTGTTGGTCGGAAATACTCAGTTTCCGAAGTATGTTATGTTGCTTTAAAATGACTCTGGGACATTTGTCAGTGGAGTGGTTTCAAAAAACCCCCGATTCCCACTTACCGAATAGCTCCACAAACCCTATCGACCGTGCGCGTTGACACCTATCTGGAGAGCAGTCCATTTCCTGTTTGCAGAGGATCGAAGAACGATCTCTGGCGTAAGGCCACAGGGAACTTCGGTGGGAGAGGCTGGTGTATATTGTAGGAAACAGCTCAGGACATCCAGGGAGTATTGTTGGTAGGCGTAGGAGAGTGGCGTATTGCCGTCATGGTCTCGGATCGACCAATTAGCGCCTCTCTGAAGGAGGAGCTCGACAATGGGAAGAGAGGATAGCTCGGCTGCGATGTGTAACGCTGTTTGGCCACGGTTGTCGGCTATTGATGGCTCGATCCCATAGTTGAGTAGTAGTTCGAGGACCTTTACATCTTTGTGGAGTGCTGCCAGGTGGAGGGCTGTCCGACCCTCGGCATCCTTGGCAATAAGGACTGATTTGTCTCTGAGATATTCAGTCTCAATTGTCGTTGCATCACCGACGGTGGCGGCATGGAGAAAAGCGTTGTTGACAGCCATGGCTAGGGGCGGCGAATGAAAGAAAGGCGAAAAATAAAACAAGGGAATTCAGCTTCTGGCGAGTGTAGAGAAGGTGAACAATTCAGTTCTCATTGATGCAGGAGGACATTGGTCTCTTTTTATTTCAGCGATCAACAAGGTTAAGGAGCTTGTGACTAGCTGCAGTTCCCATCTCGTACTCCTACTATGGGACCAGGAAGGCTATACCTTAAGTAACCGACGCAATACTCCGAACACCTGTCGCCTTTTGACACCCCTACAGAAACGGAGCAATTTCCCCCCGACGTCAGGGTTCTGGTTGCTTTGTTCAAAGTCCATCACATGCCCACCTGCCATTCTTGGACTAAAGGTGATCTCAGAGTCCATGGATTGAGTCCCGATTTCGACGGGACTTGTGGGGTATCCACTCTCGACGCACAAGAGATGCGTTGGATGGCTCGACGGTCGAGTCAGTGATCGTAGTCAAACCGTGCACGTGGCAATCTGATTCGCTCTGCTTAGCCTTCGTGTCGAAGCGGAGCTAGTTTAGCTGCTTCGCGTCATGAGCTAAGATTACCTTGGTATGGGTCGATTTGGAACGATGGGCCGGAAAGTGGAGACAAAGCGGGACAACGGTGTCCAGAGTGTCCAGCACAGTTAAGACTCTACTTAACCGACAGAGTCCTGGGCTGGAGTGATGGGTAAACTCCGGAGTACGCCTTCTCCAGAACTCCAGTCATCTCCAGACTCCGCAGAGGGTCTGGAGAGTAGTAAACGGCCAGGGGTGATACCAAGTCGATCCCCACGGGATAACAGTGTGTTCTCAAGATCCATGCTTAGAGGACACCGTCAAGAGAGAAACTAGACCGGTCTATCCGCTCGTCTTGGCTTCTGAGACAGCCTTACCGATGATTGCCAAATCTTAACCCAGGCGAGGTTCCGAACAGCGAGTTTAAAATGAGCCCTAATGCGCGAATGACGGCGCATCCCAGGTGGGTCACCAACCAGTCAGTCCTCGCACATGGGTGTTCCTGAGTTCTCTGACTGGCTCTCTGATCTTAATTTAGTCTCTGTCAACTAGGGCCTATGACGATTTAACCCGAAGGAGCTCTCGCCGTTCCGACGGAGGACGGCGACAGAAATGTCCACTAGATATTATTAAAGTGCAGCATTACCAACAGGCATTCTTGGCGCGGGGTTCGAAGAAAAGTACCAAAAGTAACAAAAAATTCTTTTCAGTGCTCCCTATTACCCTTTTTATATTCCTTCATAAACCGCATGATTAATCGTCTGAGAACATGAGAATCTCAGATCATTGATGGGTTTGTTTATGGTGGGTGTCCCCAGCTTCAGTGGGCCGATAAACCTGCACACTCCAAAGCTTGTCCGCTTCTTGGCTTTCTTGTCCTTCTCAAATGTGGCGCGTGCGACGGCAGACCATGGAAGTAGGCACAATAAATGGGACGATGGATTTCTGTCAAGCTCGCATAGAATACTATCAACCTATGATAAGTGTGTCTTGACGCTCTGCTGTGCGGTGCTTTTCATATGTGCTGTCGCATTGTTAGTTCAGGTATGTTCCGCAGGGAATCATCGATGGGGAGAATCTCACGCTAAAAAAAATAACTCTACATAGGCTTGTCGTATCTTGGTCGACATCCCTCGAAAAGAACGCCTCTGGCGACAAGAAGAATATCTAGCGCAAGAGGAGCTACTAATGTCAGCCCTCGAAGCTGGCTATGGAAAAGCCGCCACCCTCCCCCGATATGCGACCCGCTTCGGCGACCTTTCGGAACAGGAGATCGATGTGAATGGTGTAAGGAAGGTTGTTCTGGTGGTAAATGAGACCTATGCGACAAACGCAGCTCAGGATGCGTACGCGGATTGGTTCGTGAGATGGTGTCATCTCCAGGAGGAAGCCTCGAATTATGTCGTTGAGGGGCCGTCGGATGAGATGGCTCCTCTCATCGACGTGGAATCTCCGACGGCATCACGGTATTTAGATGACGTTGTGCCTTCATCACAGGGGCCTTTAGATCGGATAAGTCCCCTCATTGACGTTGGTTCCCCGGAAGTCCAACAGGATTTGGATGACCTGGCGACCTCACCACGGCCTTTTTTGGCTGATTGATACGAGGGTGTGATCGGACAGAACATTGTGCCCTTATTTACCTGTTCACTCTTATCCCTGTATCGCTTTCGCAAGACCGGAACTTGGAAATTATCCGAAACCCAGAGGTCATGGCTAGGCTGCCACTGAGCAAATCACACCTGCCGTGCCTTCATGCTCATCTGTCTGGGATATTGGGCTAAGGTTGGCTGCCAAACTGGACACCATGCGCATCATCAATGCACCCTCCGCGTCATCGAAAGAGTCGTGACGCAAGCGTGTTTGTCTCAAAGAGTATCTCTAACAGATACTGTCGGAATTGTTCCTTGACAGAGATTCCGTGATCGTATAATGGTCACGGTATTGGAAAAGAGACATCGGCTATCCTTTCGTTCACCCGTCCATGATAGAAGCATTCAAAATCGATGAGTTCCATGATGAGCTGGCAAGGGATCTCAGCCAGGGTGGAGGACATCGCAAATGCCTGGTGCAACCTATACAGGAAGGTACATACGTGCTTAATGGATAACAGATACGCATTCTAGCTCCTCCCAATCAATCACTGTTATCACTCGATAGGTGCATTGGATTGTTACTAGCTCAACTTGGTTATATCTTCCACATCAGTGAGTGTATATCATTCGCGAGCCTAGTCTCTGGCTATCACTATGGCTTTTCATGACAACCGGACCCTAGATCTCAGGGGACAGCAGGAACTAAGCAAATACAAACCTCGGCAAAGTGGCTCGCTTCCAAAACAGCCTCTAGAGGCTATCCAAGGTAACCAAAGGTGTCTATGTTACCCGCCTAAGTCGCGTGGAGCAGCGGGCAGCCAGATTTTTACTGACGTTTAAGGCTCCCTTATAGAATATCCATCTTCTATATCTTCATAATAGTAATCTAAGCATCGGATGGATCTTTGATCACTATAAATAAGATCTCAGGTCGGAAGAGTAACCAACCCAGGCCCACGGTACACCAAGAGCTAAATACCAACGTACATGCCCTGATACCTAGGCAAAGGCCTAAGCCATAATGCATTATCCATGAACATCGTGGAATTTGTACGTTGCACTATATTAATTCAGCTTTAAGATCCGCCAAATGGTTAATGTGGTACACTCTGCACCGTCTGCTGCATGAGATGTTCTATCTGAGCAATGGATTGTTGCAGCTCTTCCTCGGTAGGCATATTGACGATAAGCAAGTAAAGCACATCCTGCTGCAAAACCTTCTTAGCCAGGCCGGGCTTCCTCTTACACTGATATCGCTGCCACTTCTCTTTAAACGGTTCACTTAGAGGTTCACCACGGGCAAGCCTCTTGACTTCTTGTGATTCCTTGATGGAATTCGTAGCCCGTTCAATTAGACCCGGATTGCTTCCCAGCAGGCCCCCAGTGAGCACCGAAGTAAGCTTTCCATTGTTCACCGCGTGATTCGGGTCGTTGTACCGGGAATCAAAACCCTTGCGTCCTGACTCAGGAACGGCTAGAGAAGACCCTGGGTTCCTCGCTTCCTGGTTCCTGTTAGCGAAGCTATAGCCGCAGAAGATCAATGAAACAGTACTCACGTATGAGGCCTGCGCCTTTCTATCGAAGTAATCCTGTACCCAACTTCCTGCGCTCTTCATCCTCTCTCGAGTCCCCTCACCCTCATCTCCCTTGCCTTCCATCGCCCGTGCTGCGGCGCGATCTAAATCGGGATATACCAACGGTGCAGAGTCAGGAAGCTCGATGTGGCCATAGGTTCTACCGCTGGCCAGTCTCATATTTTTTAGACGCTTTTGGGCCATGTTCATTTCAGGGTGATGGTCAGTGTGGGTATATTTCGCGATTGTCGGGGCGGGATCGAACGTTGATTTTGCCACTAGCTGGTTGATATCAACTTTCTCGAATCCAAAGAGTGTCTTGCCCAGCTTTTGAGATAGCAGGCCAAGGGCTCCCTGCTGCTGGCCCGGGGCTTCGTCTTTATATGCCATGACCATAGCATAGAGACCACGAGGCATAAATAAGTCTTGGTTCACGCGGTCAAGAAAGGTGTTCGAGCGGCGACGGGACTGAATCTCACGAGCTGTTCCAGCCACCGTTTGCACGATGATGCTTGTTATTTGGGCGGCTGTTTCTGGGAAGAAGCCCACAATGCCAGCAGCGACATAAACGACCTCGATCCACTTCGAAGCCTGCATCCACCGTTGTCAACAATCATACCTCCACTACGAGACAGAAGAGTAACGGAGTCAGTGGCCAACCAACCTTGCTCGCTTGAAAGAAATCCTCGAGAAACTTCAGAAACACATCCTGGCTAACACCGCAATCGGCCAACACCGGCGCATACGCACGTACAAACCCGCGATCCTTGTTGCTGGGCCGGCGCTGGGGAATGATCACAGGGGATGGAATCCGCTGCACCGTCTGCACTGGCCCCGCCATTTGCACAAGACCGCGAACCATGTTTTCTTGCTGTTCCTCCTTGGCCTCCTCGTTTTGACTTGCAGCCGTGGCTAGAGGTTCTGATTCTTGATAGGTCGGCAACCGTACACTCTGAGCCGTCTCGTCGAGCTCCCAGACTGCCTCATCTTGATTGACTCCGCGGTCCGCATCGCCTGAGTAGTTAGGTTTGCTATCTACGTTCGAGTCATACTCCGCCTCGGCGGCTTTGTTGTTCTCATTGTCGTCGGAATAAGCCGGCAGCTCTGCAGGTGCATCGGGATAGGCTTGTAACTCTGCATGTCCATCAGGGTAGACCGGTAGCTCTGTATATCCGTCACGAATGAGTGCATCAGCCGTATCGTTGTCGGCGACCATATACTCGCCACCCTCGGTAGGAATGCTACGAGGGGTGGAAGATGCAGTCACATCGCCATTGTTAGATGAGCGGTTGCGGGCAGCATGGATCGCTTCAGAGGTGAAGCCGATACCCGAGCCTATGAGTTTGACAAGTATACCCATGATTGTAAGTCCCGTAATATGAGTCTGACATTCGAAGGGTTTCTGGAAGACAGCGGGTATTCTACGGGTCTTATACTGGATGAGAGTACTCGATGTCTATTTTCAGCCCCGCTTTACCCTCGACACATACGTCGCTCAGCAGATGGGAGCCATGGCCTATAGGACGATCACTCCAGACAGCAGAGTGGATACTTCCAAGGCTTAATCGCCTGTCTCTCACCCTGTGGTCAACTACCGACCATATCCCGACCCGCTCGGTGGGTCGCAGCGTTCGGGGCTGAGTAAGGGATTCTTGTCCATAGTGCTTATTCGCTCTACCGATTGCTATTCTGTGTACATCATTACTCCATATGTTATCATGTTATCATCGAAGCTGTAATCTGGGTCCCCGCTAGTCCTGTCCAGACATCTGAGATGCCCTGCCAATCAAGACATGAACTCTTAAGAATAGCGTATGCTTAGCGGGTTAGCAGACGTCTGAGCCTGATCGTCATTCAGTAGGCTAAATACGCTAATTGAGGCTTTCTCATGTGAGGAATTATCTTATATTTCATTTTGATTCTATCTTGCCTAGGTGTGGCCGTAAAACGGCTGTGGTCACGGTGGTATGCTACTATTATTTGTGCGCGCATACCCGCCTGACACGCTGCTGTTGAAGGGCAAATGGGAAACGGCAGAAGTTCAGACAAGGGCACGAATTCCAGAGTCAGCGGGACGGTGGCCAGAGTATCGCCTCCCAGCTGTGACAGAGTCGGTATTATCTGGTGGAGCTTTGACATATTTTGTAGGGTGACCTGTGCAAGATTTATGGTGACAAGTTGGTTCAATAGTGAACAAATAATCTCGCCCGGTACGCTCTTGAGTTTCGTCTGAACTATTTGCACGATCGGATGTACAGCTATTATGAATTCTTAAGCTACCAAGAACGCAAAGAATCCAGTGTGGGTAATTCAACCAGGGGATTGGTAAGGTTTAAGTTTACGGTTTGCATTGTGGTCAAGTGTTCCCAAGTGTGCTTCAAGGATATCTATCTACCGTCAGCTTCTCTTTGTCTATATAGTCCATTGTTCAATGCTAAGTCAACTTTGTTACTCTGATAGCGTACTCTACAGTTATTCACCTGGTGCACCACCCCGAATATACGTCCCAGAGCTTCAGCTTCATTACCGTTTAAACAGCTACTGTGGGCAAATCCTGTATTGGCTATAATGAATAGCCAAGCTTGCTATCTGGGATTTCAATTCTTATGACTATCATTCATCCCAGCTTCCATTCCTCCATCCTCAATGCTGACCCCCAAGTAATGTATTCAATCATGAAAGCTGACCAGACTCGATAATTTGGATTTTGGCACTGGTGTCACCCTCATCGGATCCGTAGGATTCGATTAGCTTGACCAGCTCCATACCCTCCTTAACCTTGCCAAAGACAACGTGGGCTCCATTCAACCAAGGGGTGGGAACAGTGGTGATGAAGAATTGAGAGCCATTTCTGCTTCAGGTAAGCATCATACCATTATAAAGGATCGATGGAACTTACGTGCCCGGGCCAGCATTGGCCATGGAGAGAAGACCGGGGACAGTGTGCTTCAACTGGAAGTTCTCGTCGGGGAACGTCTCGCCGTAGATCGATCGACCGCCGGTGCCCTGTTGACGTTAGATATGATTGTGTGATACAAATGGAGGGGCTTAGTCTTACATCTCCACGGGTGAAGTCACCACCCTGCAGCATGAACTCCGGGATCACACGGTGGAAAGAGCTTCCCTTGTATCCGAATCCCTTTTCGCCAGTGCAAAGGGCGCGGAAGTTCTCGGCGGTCCTGGGTGTGATGTCGGAGAAGAGCTCGAAGGTGATGCGGCCCTTGGGCGCTATGGTTCATAATCAGTGTCAGTGGTAATTTAAATGGGCAGTTTGGTGGAGATTCATTCTTACCGCCATCGATTGCGATGTCAAAAAAGACAATAGGTTTGGCCATGGTTGCTGGATACTTGTTGCTAAGTTATTTATTTTACAAGGAGGGAAGGAAAGAAGATTGATTATGGCAATCGATTTTTCCGTGATCGCGGGGTAGTGGAGGCAGTGACGTATGGACATGAGTAGCTGTTGAGTTTTGCGTAGAAGCTCTCTCATTGGCATCGTTGATTCTCGGTATCCACTTATTTTCAGCGATGGAAGGTTAATATTTCTGGTTAGACATATTTTTTCCTATATAATCCTCTGCTAGGAGAGAATTAGCACATACGACCACAGGGTGTGGAGAACAGGGCTTCCCGTCCGCTCAGCCGTACTTAAGCCAACTGTGTAAGCTCGGCCAAAGGACAGTGGCGCCCTCTGGGGCTCGCT